CTGAGGTCAGGAGTTCAAGACCAGCCTGGCCATCATGGTGAAACCCCATCTTAAAAAAAAAAAAAAAAAAAAAGAAAAAAAGGTGAAACCCCATCTTGAAAAAAAAAAAAAAAGAAAAAAGATATTAAAAAAAAAAATGCCAACTTTGCTTTCCACAATCAACTTATTTGGCTATTGCATTAGGCCACTCTTGCATTGCTATGAAGAAATACTGAGATTGGGTCATTTATAAAGAAAACAGGTTTAATTGGCTCACAGTCCTGTAGGCTTTACAGGGAACACGATGCAGGCACCTGCTTGGCTTTCAGGGCGGCCTCGGAAGCTGGCAATCATGACAGAAGGCGAAGAAGGAACAGGCACATCACATGGTGAAAGCAGGAGCAAGTAAGAGAGAGAGTGGGGAGGAGGGAGGCGCCACACACTTTTAATTACCAGATCTTGAGAGAACTCACTATCATGAAGATAGCACAAAGCCTTGAAGGATCTGCCACCATCATTACACCTCCCACAAGGTCCACCTCCAGTACTGGGGATTATAATTCAACATGAGATTTGGGTGGGAGCTTACAAACCCAGAGGATTCTATGCTGTGTCTCCAGCAGCTCAAGTGGCACTTAGGGATTTCAAGGTGTGTCCTGTGCCCACCAGCCACCTGGATGTGAACAGCAATAGCTGGTCGTCTCAGCTGAGTGTATCTTCATGGATAGAGAAGGGAGGTGAAGAGAGGGCTGTTCATTCAATATTGGTTGAGCAATGTCCTAGGGGCTAAGGATGTAGCCCTGAACTAAATGATGTCCCTGTCCTCATGGAGGGACACCTAGTGGGCGATGCAAACTATCAATATATGTAGAATGGAAAAAAAATAGAAAAGGTGGAGGAGATATAGTAATAGTTTGAGGAGTGAACTTCAGAAAGTCAGGAAATCTCCTTTTTTTTTTGTTTTTGTTTTTGAGATGTAGTCTTGCTCTGTCACCCAGGCTGCAGTGCAGTGGCACCATCTCAGCTTACTGCAACTTCTGCCTCTCAAGTTCAAGTGATTCTCCTGCCTCAGCCTCCTGAGTAGCTGGGATTACAGGCATGTGCCACCATGCCCAGCTAATTTTGTATTTTTAGTAGAGATGGGGTTTCTCCGCGCTGGTCAGGCTGATCTCAAACTCCCAACCTCAGGTGATCCACCCGCCTCAGCATTCCAAAGTGTTGGGATTACAGGCGTGAGCCACCACACCCGGCCTTGTTATTATTTTAGATGAAGGGTGCAGTGGTTAGCAGAGTCTCCTTGAAGGTCATTGATTAAGGGTTTTTCAAAGGTACTTTGGGGAAAGGAGTGGGAGTCAGTAATGAGTGTTACAGCTTATTGGTTGCCTGAGAGATAAAATCATAGGCAGTTGAAGCTGTCCTCTTGTGTTGAGTTGCTTCTGGATGGGGTCACAGGAGCCATTGGTGGGTTCAGGTGGAGCCTTGGGTGTCAGACATGCAAAAATCCTGAAAATAGGCCAGACATGGTGGCTCACACCTGTAATCTCAGCACTTTGAGAGGCTGAGGTGGGTGGATCACCTGAGGTAAGGAGTTTGAGACCAGCCTCACTAACATGGAGAAACCCCCGTCTCTACTAAAATTATAAAAATCAGCTGGGTGTGGTGGTGGACACCTGTAATCCCAGCTACTCAGGAGGCTGAGGCAGGAGAATCACTTGAACCCGGGAGGCTGAGGTTGCAGTGAGCCAAGATCACACCATTGCACTCCAGCCTGGCAACAAGAGCGAAACTCCATCTCAAACAAAACAAAACAAAACAAAACAAACCCCCCAAAACCTGAAAATGTATCTTTAAAGGCTAATCAACAATGGTGATGTTATCTGCAGCAGTAATTATGAAGTTGCGTATCTTGTGTCCTCCGGAATAATGGCTGCTAGTCTATACCTTGAGTTCAGGCTCCCTCCTCCTCCTAGCCTGGTGGCCTTTCATTAGCTTTACAAAGGTGGCTACGTTTTCGAGAAGGTCTATTACCACTTAAACTATAAACTAAATGTCTTCCAAAAGTAGTTTGCCAGCTTGAAAGCTAAAGGCAAGAGGCGTGTTGGCTAGATCAGATCTCCCCCAGCGCCACAATTTTCTGTTTTAATTTTTTTTTAATCTCAAGTTGAAATGTGATCACCGTTTTAATTTTTGCAAAGGTAGTTTCAGTCTAACTGCCCATTTCTGACTGTTTCACTGTCTCAGCTGCACAGGCATCATAGAGAAATTTATTGTGATGTGTTTTGCTTCCTAACCTATGATCTTTCCTATCCCACCAATCACCTAAATCCTGCTCAAAGTAAATCCTCTTGGATATGATAACTTGAAATTCCTTCCTTTTTTCTTTCCTTTCCTTTTTTTTTTTTTTT